CGTACGAGAAACGAAAACAATAGAAACCGAAAGAAAATAAGACGATCACTATGCGAGGATAAGAGTAATCATTGAAACACCGAAACAACACGTGTCGCGAACGCGCGCGCGCGCGGTCATTGTTACACAATATGCTCGGTAAATTTACGATCCATAGTTCTTGAAGCTGACTTCTACTCACGAGGTTCAAAGCTTTTCATGTATGTAAATCCATTCGCAAAAATACTTTCAAATAGAGAAACAAGAGTTGATTGAAACTTTTCAATCGTCCTGAATACTTTGAATTTGTTGTTGCACGTTACCTTATTTATCCTACATGATCCCAGCCTGGGCTGCAACCGGCTCGTCGTTCACGCTCTGATCACAAATTTATAAATATCTCTGTCTCTCTGTCTGTCTTATTTTCCGTTTTAAATAAATCGCATGGGTTAAGAATCCAGTCTAACGCTGCCTGCCTCATATGACTGGCCAAACACGAACAAACGGGAAAAGAAAAGAGAAAAAAAAGGAACGCGAAACGTTTTCGCCCTCGCTGGATTACAACGCGTGCGTTTATCGAGACGCGACTCGTGTCCAGCGACTGCGCCTCGTACCGAAACAAAGCGTATAAAAACAAAGAGAACAATCGTCGCTGCTTTCCACTCGGATTCCCTAGGCGTGTATGCGGTGGCTAGCTACGGAGAGTGAATAGGCTAGGCTCTGGGTCGGTCGAATCGTTAGGAACGAACAGGTTCAAATGATTTTCGATTCTTAGAACTCGCGAAAGGCCTCTCGAATATCTTCCGGTTTCGTATCCCGTTAACCGGGGAAGCGTGGTTAACACCATGACACATTTATTAATTCACTTCGATTGGCTGGCCTCAAACACCCCGGTTAACAGGTGAAGAATGCTCGACTTTGCTCCTTGGTGTTGCACCGTCCGTTGAACGTTCGGATCCTCGTTTCTTCGGTACATCTATGTGTGTCGTCTCCCCTAGGACTGTCAGGAATCGCCTATTCAGGATTTACGGCATTCCGTATCGTTGCATTCTCTTCTTCTTCCAAAGTTCAGCCTGCTCTGTTCTCTCGATGGTTGTGCGTCGATTAGGTTGGTTGAGTCTTCCAGCGTTTCGAACAGTTCGTCGAGGTGTCACCGCCCACGCGAGGTGTTTCCGGGCGACCGACGCGCTCGGGCCACTCGTTTAGAAACGCTGCGGCTTCTCTCCTCCGTTCTAGATGTTTTCAAAGCTGCGCGCACACCGGGGTACGCGTCGCGCGACTCGAGGCAAGTTTGAGCCGTAAACGAGCGTGGCCACGGGCCAAGTCTCTCGGATACAACACTGTATCATTTCGACGAGCTTCCAACGTTCTCAAGCGGGCTTCGGTTGTTCGGATATTCGAATAAGAATGTTGGAGAAAGTAAGTTGGAAGGAGCACATTGAATCAACTAAGGAGGCATCGAACGATTCGATTTTCTTTTCTTTTCGATGTTGGTTCTTGCACGTAGAACAAAGCTACGCGTTCATTCGAGAGTCACAGTTCCGCTCTCGAACGGACGCTTAGCTTAACGCGTTAACGCTGCTGTGTATCGTCGGAAATTGTAGTTCGTTGCATTGGTTTGGTACGTAGAAACAAATTACCGCTTAGTCGATGATTAATTGACCCATTGATAATTCTAATAATTTGAAAAGTTTCAAGAAATTCACTGGATGGACAGAAACGTAGTTTCCAGTAGAGTCGCGCGACGAGTGTGCCTCCCCGGTCCGTGCCGCGCGACGGTCCTCTGACAGTCATATTAGGCGGCACGCGGCCATGTTCAGTTGCACGTTGAATATACAGGGACAAATTCACAAAGTTAAGCCTTGGACAAGGGAGCAAGTTACACGGTATCATTGTTGATCCGACCGATTCCGTAGACTCGATTATTTATTGTATCGCTGTTTATAGTAGAGGCATGTACGAGGACTTCAGCCGAGATTCATTCGAAGAGCGTAGGTAAGTAAACGTTACCGATGGGTCCCTCACGCGTCGTGTCGCGTCGCGTCATCCGCGCGACGCCCGTTGTCGAACCATCGTTTCCGCTTTCGCCTTCGAAACGGAGGAGACAGCGACGCGCGGGACTCGGGGTTACTCTGATCGATTCGGCCAGTCGTGTCGTCCTAATCGTGTTCGATCGTCGATCTCTCGGTGAACGTTAGCGAGAAAAACGAGGAAGAAGCATTACTACTACTACTGTTAAAACCATCACTACCACCACCACCACCACCAACTTCCTCCCACTCTATCTCCTTCGTGATCAAGATAGATAGTTTTCGATGATCCTTCAGCTCGCTCTTTACGCCACCCTCCCGAACCTCCTCGATCGCCCTGTGTCTTTGGTACGCGGTATCGCGTATTCTTCCCACCCGTCGGTTGGTCGGTACAGCGTAACTTTTGATTTCTTTCTTTTCACAGTGGCACCCCTGTCTACTTACCCACCTACCGCCCTCTTAATATCTCACCACAAGCCGCTCCCCACTTGTTCTTAGCCCGTGTTTAAAGAAAACGGAATCGACCAGAAAAAAATACAGAACAGAACAGAAAAAAAGAAACTGTAAACGAAACACGAACGATACATGACAATCGCTCATGTACCTCCGATCTCGTGTAACTGACGTGTGGCTGCTTCTCATTTTGGTTACCAGACCGGGATTACGAGGGCCATCGCCGTCGCGCCGGTTCGCACCATACTAAATCGTCGCGTCGGGCTTACTCGGATCGGTCTGTGTCGGTCTGTCTGTCGTCGTCGTCTTCGTCTTCGTCGTCGTCGTCGTCTTCGTCCTCCTCGTCGTCATCGTCGTCTGTCATCGTCCTCTTCGTCGTCCTCGTCGTCGTCGTCGTCGTCTCTCGGGTCTGTCTGTTGCTAGCAGGAAGCCTCGGAACCGAGATACTCTTGGCCGTCTGTCGATCTGCACGCGCGAAGATCCACCATACACGCTCTGTCGGAAAAATAAGCGATTAGAAAACGGGGAAAACCGAATGTCCGATTACACGCCGGACGGGACTCGACCAGCAAACCGGATACCACCGATCGGAAACTCGTCGGATCGCACAGGCCTCTCTTTATCTCGTTCGCGTCTCCTCTCTTTTTCTTTCTCTCTCTTTCTATTTCTTTCTCTTCACCGGTCCGACTTTCTGTCTCTTCAGCCTCCCCAAGAACTCGTCACTCGCAACGATTCTTCGTTTTCCTTGTCCCCCGTGTCCCGAAGACGGATTACCGGCCGCAGTAGTCTTACCGCATCGTCGAGCACGAGACGCACAGTTCGATCTTGTCCAAGCGTAATTTTCGATGCGAATCCGGAAACAGGCATCCTCCTGCCGAGAGCGTCTACATTCTACTTTCCAGCGATCGATCGAGAAAGGGACAGATTGTAGTAAAAACTGGCGCGTGATTCGATGCTCTTCTCGGTCGTTGGAACGGGAAGAACGTTTCGGTGGGACGATGCTTTCGGCGACCGTACACGCGAACCGTGCTCCGCCATTTTCTTCCCTCGCGCGATCGCGACGATCACGGAGTTGCATGCACGCGTTCTCGATGTCGTTCGATTCGATCGCGCGAAAAAAAATACAGAACAATGATAAAGCAAAAAAGATCCTCTCACCTGTGGCACCTCCTTCGTTGTCTCTCGAGTTCTGCGTCGCGTTCAGAGTGTAGAAAACGGGTCGTCTTCCCGCGGTGCGCGCGTCCAAGCATTGTAACACGGGACGAAGGGAACGTTTCGCGATCGGAGTTCGAACGGATGTGCGAGAGAGAGTAGACCGGAACACCGTTGGCCGGTCAGCGCGCGTCGAAGGCGTGCGTCGACGTTCAACAGAAAAGAAGCCGCTGGAACGAACGGAGATGATTTGATTTCGCTTGCGTGTGATCGATCGCGACCCTTTAGCTTCCCGTGAGGCCCCGGTCTCGCACGCGCCGCGCGAATCGAACGTCTTTCCCCCCGATATTAAATTCCCCCAGTTATCACCGATTGTAATGTGGCCGCGACGAACCGGCGATGTTTATAACACGCGTGAACACGAGTACGAGAAGCGGAACCGAACGAGAAATCGTGTGCACAGCGACCCTCCCCCCGCGGATCTTTCGTTTCGCGGAACGAGACGTGGAGAAGTGTACGTACGGGTGCCCGACTGTTCAAATCGTCCGATCGCATAACACGGAGAACAAATGATAAGGAACTTAGTTTAAGGGTCAAAGAGTTTTCTTCTTTTTTTTTCATTTCACCATTCTTTTTTTTTCTAATTCGTTGTTGGAGTATATACCGTAGATACTCGTAGGACGACGATGCGTCGATTCTGTATGGGGACCTAAACGGGTCGTGCGAACATTATATCGTTAGCCTATAGTACACGTAATAATACCGTTTTATTAACACATTAGGATTAATCGACGTTTAAAGGGAAAAAAGAAAAGAAACAGAGAACCATTACCGAGAAACGAATTGCGGGCAAAGACCGCAAGGTGCGTGTTCCGTTTTAAGCTTAATCAACGTACGCAATAATAACGATGGATCACCGTTTAATCCTTCCGATTTTTCGTCCGGGTCAGCGCGTGCGTCGCGCCCCAGATATGCGTGAAAATGTTTCTCGTCGTTCACTCTCTTTCTCGGGGTCTTTATTTTTTTCTTTAAATCCCGTCTCTTCTTCCCCCCGCCGCCGCAAACTAGATATTTCTCCACCTTTGTTTCGTCGATAAGACACACGCGTTTTCAATGATAATTATATTTAATAATGGTAACCGTAATGATAATGGATTTAAAGACAAACGAATATGTAACAACAAATGTACTTGTGGAATTCACAAAACAAAAAGAAAACGGCGTTCTGCGTGTTCTTTAATTCTGTACATCACCGTCACCGTTTTTTCTCGCCGCCATATCCGATCCACCCCCCTATGTCTCTCTATCTTCTCTTTCTCATCCGCCACCCTGTTGTCCGCGCGGTAATCGTGAATACCGTACGCGCGCAAACTTCTCGCGATCCCGCGATCCATCGACGCGCTTCGATCTCGACGTCGCTTTCCATCTCCTTCCATGAGACACCGCGCAAGCACGACCACCGCTTCCGATTTCATCTTCCTACGTCGCTCCGCAACCCCCAGTCGTCTTTCTCTTTCTTTCTCTCTCTTCGTTCGAACCGCTATTCGTTCAGGAATCCCTCGACGAAGCGATTCGTCGCACTTTCGTGTCCATCATTCACTCTCGAGAACCCTTTCACCGTCTCGCTTTTCGCTCGACCGTTCGACAAGCCTTCTTTCCTTCCCTGGAGCGTGGGGTGAAACGAAATTTCGCGGAGAAGCTGTAGGACGGTGCTGAGCAACAACCCTTGTTTCGTGAAAACCTGAAGTTCTTTGCGAGTCGTAATGGAGGTGATATTAGAAACTCGAAATCGTTCGATCTACGATCGTTTACCACTAACTGCGATAAAAGAAGAGATAAGAAGGAAAAGAGAAAGTCCTCGGATCATGTTTAGAGATGAATCGGGTGCGCATTGCTCAGCGCCGCTGTAGGACATGCACGTTCCGTGGAGCAGCGACGCGTTGCCATTGAAACCTTGCTCCCTTTGTCGCGGATAGAGACGGAGACGAGATGGATACGCCGCGCGAGCCCAGTCGCTTCTAAATTAGACTAGGAAGTTAAGAATAAGCTCTCTCGGGCCTCTACGCAAGTGGTTTCAGTGTTGCGATCGTACTTGGTCGGCCGTTGTGTTCTACCTGCGCGTTGCCGCGCAGCGTGCTCTCTGTTCGAGGCTGGCGGCCGTGACAGAGCGTTACGGGTAATACACGGATGAACGCTCATTTTCAAAATTGACGGATCCTCCTTTACCGTTCGACTCGCGTCGGAGAAGAAGAAAGAGCTCGATTCGGTTCTCTCTTGTTATCGGCTCGCCGCGGGAACGATGGAACGAAAGATCGAGGAAAATCGCGTGCGGAACGCGGATGTATCCCGTCCGTCGGATGGTTCTTCTCGCGTCTAGGCACGAGTGAAACGGGAGGAAATGAGACTATAAAGCTATAGAAACTAATATAGAACAGAAACGGAGGCGGCCGGCAATATGGGAAATTCCTTTTTTTTTCTCTTTGGTCCACGACTTTCTTTCCCCTGCCCCGGCGGCAGGCAGCTAAAACACGCGCGAGAGTATAGTTCCGCGCTCCGGCGAACGCGAATGCGTGGCCGCTGCGTCTATATACGTCCTCAGCGTTACGTAATTAGGAGCCGGTGTGTCGAAGGTGATCTCTCGGTGACGCCCGTGGGCTACGCGCGTGTTAAACCAAAAAACCGGCGGAATGAAAACGGAAACTAGAAAGTACACGAGAAATCATTTGAAAAATAAATATATAAATAAACGAGAGGGACGAAAACGGAATGTCGTCGCACACGGAGCCTTGTTCGTCGTCGCACGGGTTCACGACCAGATGTCTGTCCGTCCGTCTGCTAACATATAGCAAGTTCTCTTTCGAGGATATTATACGGGGTTCTACCGGATAAAGTGTGCGTAACATCGTCGATAGGAAATGCTACTACGGTGATATCCATGCACACACACGCACGCACGCACGCACACGCAGAGCCACGTGAACGTACGGACACGCGTAAATGATTTACGCCAATTGTGGGTAGCCTCTCGATCCGAACATTTGCAAGCCGTTCGTGCGAGTACCTACGTGGTCGTCGGTCGTTCCGTCGGGATATATACACTCGTATCTACACGCGTTCGTATACGCGTACGCGCTTCCCTAGTACGCGTACTATCTGCGGAAGGTAGTAAACGTACGGATGCGCGTATATCTGGTGCGTGTACCGAGGAAAAAGGTCGACGAGAACGAGAACTATTCGGTCGCAGATCGGGACGCACGCCTCCTCCGGACCCTCGCAGGCACGTCGTATAAACGAAACGAAACGAAC